GTACAAAATCTCTTAAAACAAGGGTTCGAATTTGTGCAATACCCTGCCACAAGCTGATAAAAAAATTGATGACTTATTTTTCACAAATTTTGTATAGCACCAAAAGTAATTAGGGATATTCTTGTTAGGAAAAAGTGTTATATTTCTACGGTACAAATTGTCTTAAATTACATAACTATAACTATTAAATAAAGTGGTGCCCTTTAATATTAGAATTCTACCTCCATTCAATGAGTTCTATTTTACAATTTAATATAATTTAAACTATAAAACTTAGCACCCTTCTTACTAATCAACTATGAGAATTAAATACTGATGGTACAAAGAATTTGGGCTTGTCCGTGTACAAGCTGGAAAACTTTTTCCTACTTTTTTATGTTCAAGAAGACCCATCTCTTTATAGTGACAAATAGGATTTAGATATAATAATAAATATTAAAAAATATTATTTTTTATAAAATCTTGTTGTTTGTCTTATTTTAAGATCTTAAGATTGCTTTTTATTTGGAGTGTTGAAAATGGCAAAAGAATTTAAAATATAATAATAAAATTAAAAAACACTAATCTTTTTGAAAAATTTTGTTGTTTTACTTTAAAACCTTGAGATTACCCTTTTTTTTTTCTGACGTGTAGAAAATGATAATATGACTTCGAATATGATAACAAATATTAAAAAACATTAATTTTTTTCAAAAGTCTTACTTTTTTTTCCCACTTTAAGACTTTGAGATTGTTTTTTCTTTAGAGTCTAGAAAATAACAACAGGATTTGTAATATAATAACAAATACTAAAAAAGACACTAATCTTTTTAGAAAATATTGCTGTTTTTTTTACTTTTAAGAGCTTGAGACTATTTTTTTTCTTTTGAGTGTAGAAAATAACAATAGGATTCAAAATATGATAAAAAATATTACAAAACACTAATATTTTTTAAAAATCTTGCTGTTCTTCCTTATTTTAAGACTTTAAGACTGCTCTTTCTTTAAGAGTGTGAAAGATGACAATAGAATTTAAAATATAATAACAAATATTAAAAAATACAAATCCACTAGTCTTTTTGAAAAACCTTGCTATTTTTCCCACTTTAAGACCTCAAGACTGCTTTTTCTTTGAAGTGGAGAAAATAACAATAGGACTAGTATTTTTTTAATCAAGGATATGACATTTATTTTATAAATCAAAATTAGTTTTTTTTTTTTTTGATAGAAAAATTAGTATTTTTTAAAAAATTTATAATTAAGGATATAATCTTTGTAATCTGTCTAAAAAAAAATTAAGTAAATGTGCACAAGTTTATATATGATTGATTAAAAAACTTTAAGAAGATCGATGGTAATTTTAATTGGTAAAAAAAAAAATACCATTTCTTTTAATCAAAAAAATTATATTTTTGATGCATTAATAATAATTATAAAATTATTTTAAATATAGATCATTAAATAAATAA